TGCACTAAAAATGCACTAAAAATGCACTAAAAATGCACTAAAAATGCTATCCCATCTCATAGCACTGAAGGTGAAGGAGCACTCAGTACATGAAATTAGTTTTATTTTCATAAGTAAGCCAGCTAGTTTTTTTTATTTTCCTCCTCTTTCCTCCTTTTTTCTTACGTCCTCCCCCTCTTTTTTCCCCCCATTTTTTTTTCCCCCTCCTCTCTTGTTTTTCATGAGGACCCCTATTTCCCACGAGCTAGAAAAACATCCTCCTGTCATTATATTATTTCCCCTCAGGACCATTATTGTTGCATTTTAAGTTCAGTTTAGGTACCTTTTAATTCCCAAAGACAAATGCACTTGTCACCCACCCTCTCCGGCACAGCTCAAATTTCCATGCTTTCTCCAATGGGGAACATCCCATTAATTAACGTTTCATTCTAATCATCTGCCACCAATACCCACTGTCCACTGTGAAGCTATTTTGTTACTTGTGAAAGCACCACATGAATAATCCTGAGCAACTCACAGTCTTTCTGTCCATAAGAAAGGCAGAGGGAAAACAAAACAACTACCTACCCTAGTACAGATCACATCCTCTAGTAAAGACAAACTACTTATTGATAAAAACACTATTTCAGCCTTAGGGACTTTCAACTCCTGACTGCACAGAGAATTCTCCCATAGCGCAAGCAGTCACTGCTACCAATGTAACGTAGATCCTATCTACTACAGCTTAAAAAACATTAATTAGCTATTGAATGGTGTCAATTTTAGATAATTATCAAGCTAGACTAAATTAGTCACCAAGAAGAGAGCTCTGCAATTCATTACTACTCCTAAGACTTTTCTTTTGGAAGCCTATTCCCTCTTTTTCTTAGTCATAGCTGTCTAAACTTGAAGGTCATTGCTCAAACAAGTTTTTTGAATGTTTCATTACAGAAATATTTTTATAGCAACTTGTAAGCATTGTATAATGATACTGTTACAGTAGCCTGCACTTTGACTGAAAGCTACTTACATAAGAAACAAATAGAAAAGAATTTAAGGATGTATTGGATATAGCAAAAGTCAGAAGATACAAGGACAGAAGATACTCATACCTGATGTTTTCCATAGAAAAAGGCAGAGTCAATACTATTGCTGTTACGTTCACCAACTATTAACAAGATTCCTATCAGAAGCGTCGGGACTCTGAAAGTGCAAAATATGAACAAAGTAACATATTTAGCTTGCTCTCACCAAGCCTACAGGCAAACATCTGTGTTAACTTACCCCCATCCAGCTATGATTATAAACCCGATGGGAATCGTCACTGTTTCTCTCTTCCTCAACAGAAACAAAGAGAAAGATAAAAACCCTACAAAGAACAAAAGAGATGCCTTGTTTATTACTAAAAAGAGAACTGAAAATTACAGACTCTAGACACTCTAGTGTGTGACCTGCTTAGTAACCAAAGAGTGCCTCTCAGATCACAATTTATTTCCACCTATAAATGCTTAGGAAGGTTTACAAGTATTTAAAAGGTGCCATAAGAATACTTAAGACACAAGTGACTACTTCATTAAGGTTAAAAAAAGATAAGTCTTTCGGAAAGTAAATGCTAAATTTCACAAAAATGTTTAATGTGTTTTTACAGGAGTAACTCTACATAGGACTATCTTCTGCAAATATCAATTCCACTCCCAACCCCAATAATACTTTCCTTGTCAAAGCAAAACTAGTATTTACGTTAGGCTATACTAATCATACGCTATTTTCTGTCTCAGCCTAACAAGCACAAAACTGGACAAAAACATCACACAAAATAAACCTTTCCACTTCTGGACTCAGGAATGGTATAGGAAGTCTGCTTTAGTTACACCCAAATAGTTCCCCAAGTTCCTTCATATATCTTTCAAATCTGTCTACTGTAACTAATCTCTTCATTAATCATCTACACCTGCAGAACACATACACTGTTTTTGGAAATTGCAATTGCCACAGGGAAGAAATATTAAAGCTCCTTTGCTATCTCCCTTCATTCTGTTTTTTGAGGCATAAGGTTTTAAGATCTTCTTAATGCTGAATAAATTAAAGTCTTACATTCTGCATTAATTAAAAATTGGCAGTAAGCTTTTGAGTAGCTGAAGGGCAACCCATTCCCACTTAGTCTATTTGTAATTGCTTTTGCTTTGGGACAGGTTCTTGACTTTTTTTTTTTTTTTTTTAATAAACCAGCAAGTCTTGTACTGCAACAGGCAAAGAGAAACCAGACATGTCTATATATGAGCTTTGAGTAGCAGAAGCAGCATCTGACATTTAGCCTTCCATTGCTAGGGCTTCAGCTTGGCACAGCTTTTAAGTGTATGTTTGTGAAATTATACACAAGTGAATGGAACAATTACTCTGAAGAACACAAGCAAATTATGTCAGTACATTAATCTTTTATACTATACCTAGTTCTGCCTAGAAAAATCATACCTGTCCACAGGTAGGTGCTATAAAGTGAACTGTAGAGAAATATAAATGCTAGGATCTGCACAGTTACATCTTTCTGTTTAACAGTGAAATTCCATATCACCATTCCAATGCAAGCAATAAACTGAAAAGAAAAAAAAGATGACATTATCTAAATGCAGAAAACAGGATGACAAAAACACAAAAAGCCTCAAACCTGAACACAGTGTAATATAGCTATGTTAAGTTTCTAAACACCATTGCAATGTAATTTTATGAATTCCATAGCACAGCAATAAATATTATGCTTACATAGAAATAATATTATGGTTACATCACTGACTAGGGCATTCTACCTCCTCTTGTTTTGTTTTGTTTTGTTTTTTTGACAGCAGTGGAGTAGGGAAAGTCAGGAAATAAAGTATATATAGTAATTGCAAGATTATAAATATTTAGCCAAGATGCAAAGCTTTTGTTAGGTACAGACCATTCATCTGAAATGATCTGAACATGAAGCTGAGAGTCGACATCAACAGATCAGTCAAGAATTATACAAGTTTTCGGCCTCATGGGAGAGTTTTAGTACTGAATTAATCTGAATAAATAGGCTGAAATACTACAGAAATACTAATACAAGGGCTCAAAAATATTCCTAAAGCAAACTTCATGTTGTTACAGACAAGCACCACTTGCAACTCTCACGTGTGATTTTCTTCTCTGAAATGTGACTGCAATCAGATCTCAGAGTTCACTTTATTATTAAGAAACAAACAGAAACAACACTTCAAAAAGCATCCACTGCACATCACTGATTCTAATAGTTGTGCAGTTGTCTTCAAGGAAAAAAGAAGCACATACTCTATAGTTCTCCCTCAGCTTAAATAACAATTACAACTAATCCAAGTCAGAGCTATTTGGCTTTGCTGTTCCCTAGCCACCAGCCATGCATTCCCACGCCCCTTCCTTGCATCAGCACTGGCACCTGTCTGATCCCTCAGTGAGTCACTTCAGGTAGCTGAACCAGCATGTGGACTAGTTTCCTACTTCACTCCTTGGATCAGGTCACCAAGAGTCAGATGCATGCTGCTGCCTATCATAGCATTGCTGACTTCAGATTGGCATAAACTGAACTGAAAGTGCACTCAGCACTGCTATTTGGCAATAGTTTATAATGCTAAAAATACATCGCAAAAGCCATTTGCCGTTCTGATTGCTTATAGATCTGTTTGAGACGCTGCTCTATGAGAGCTGGACGATCAAAACAGTCACTTTGACATTTTCTTCAAGGCTATACCTCTTAAATCACAGAAACCTTTCAGACAAGTCACACATTAGATTCCCCTTCTCACTTTATATGGCTACAAAGATACGCAGCAGAAACCAAACTGCAAAAGTGTTAAAAATAAGACACATGCACAAAAAAAGAAAATATATATTTTTTTACTACTGACCTGAGCAACAAGTAGATTTGTTGTAATCATATGAGGAAGCTGTTTGTATTTCTTACTCAGAAGAACAACAATAAGAGACCAAATCTGTAACAGACAAGATAAAATTGAATATGAGACCAACACACACACACGAAACATCAACAATAATAAAAAAAGAGCCAGATGAACACTGGCAAAATTTGGTGCAATTAAATATACAACAAATCTTCTTGAGGAGTTTCTTAGCAACATGACTGTCACAGGCAGCTTGACACCACCACCACACCACACAATGTGGATGCCTTAGAAAAAGCAACGTGTCATCATGTTCTCATAGTGGCGAAATATTTCCAGGGAGTACCAAGGGTTTGCCTACCATGTGCAGAAGGCTGGTTGTTTCCCAAGACATAAACAAACATAGAATAGACTGGAAGTTTGGAATTATACAGTCTTTGCATCCTGTCCTTTTTAAATCTCCCAAAGTGATTAATGATGGCAAGAGGCAGATTTTACTTGATGCTTCCCTCGAGGGATAGTTTTGTGACAAAAGGTTCAGTGTGATACCAACTTCAGAAGTTATTAGCTTCCTCCAACATGGAAGCTTTTTATTTAAAATTAAAAGACTAAGCACACTATGTATAATGCTTGTGAAACCAAAACACAATTCACATCAGACTTCTGAGATTTCAGTATGCTTTTTCAGGATTAGACACCAAGAACTACCAGGAAAGGAATTTGATAAAGCTAAATTAAAACTTCCAACTTAAATGTTCTCATTGCTACTTCATTAATTAAATATTCATTAACATTTCAGGAGTTTAGATTTAATTCCAGCAGAAGTTTTTACATAGCTTGCATTACTGAGATATCCAAGCACTTCAGGTTGTTTTTCCCCACAGTGCAGCTTTACAGTTTTTTTTTTAAACCCAGCTCCTCCCTCATCCTTCTGCAACAAGATCCAATGATGAAATATCAATCTCATCTTAAATCACGACTTGATTTGCTGCTTATGTAGTAAAGCTTCTCTGATATTACAGTGTGCAATGGTATTTCATTTTGCCAACACCTACCAGAGAAACAAGGCTGACAATACTTATGTCAAAGCTAACATTCTGCAGCGCAGATGC